AGGGTAGTTCCGCTCGGCGGCTTTGAGCTGCCTGGACTGGAATGAGATGACTCGTTCCTGTCCAGCCGTGTCGTCCTGCAGCAATGCACACCCGATGGCGTAATCGGAGGCATCGCAGACGACGCTAAACGGCTTCGTCTCGTCCGGCAGAGCCAGGACAGGGGCCTCTTGGAGACTGGCCTTGATGCTGTCAAAAGCATCCTGGTGCTCTTGCTCCCAGCGCCAGTCGACGTCCTTCTGAAGGAGGCTCGACAAGGGCTTAGCAAGCCCGCGTACCCAGCGCTGTACTTGTGAAGGTAGTTGGCCAAACCCAACCACTTTCGAAGATCCTTCTGGGATCGGGGCGTCGGCCATGCTGCTATGGCCTTGACCTTGTCTGGGTCAGCCCGAACGCCCACGTTGCTTACGAAGCAACCGAGAACTTTGATCTCTGGTGACGCGAAAACGCACTTGTCGATGTTGGCGTAGAGCTTGTTCGCTCGCATCACGTCCAACACTCGACGGAGGTGTCCTAGATGCACCTCCATGGCCGTCTTGCCTCCCTCGGCACGGCTATGGACGAAAATGTCGTCGAAGTACGTCTGTACGAAGGTACGCAAAGGGCGGAACAATTGCGTCACCAGGCGATTGAACGTCGCCGGGGCGTTAGACAAGCCCTGCGGCATGACGAGCCACTCCCAAAGCATGCCGCTTGGCGTGCTTACCGCGGTGAGCGGGATGTCACTCTCTCGCATCAGGATTTGGTAGTATCCGTCTACCAAATCCAGCGCACTGTACAGTACGCTCCCGGCCATGTTGTTCAACAACACATCCTTTCGTGGGATCGGTGTTTGGGCCGGCACCGTTGCGTTGTTCAGCTTGTTATAAGCGTGAACCAGACGCCACTTTCCGTTCGGCTTACGAACGCAGAAAGTCGGCGTCGAGTGCGGGGATTTCGACTCCCGCACCATGCCTGCCTTCGCTTTCGCGGCGAAGAAGGCATCAATGACCTCGCACTGTTCGCGCGGGAGAGGCCATTGCCTCGTGACACAATACTTTGTGCCGGGCACGAGATCAATCTCGTGCCGGGCACGAGATCAATCTCGTGCCGTACGCCTCGATCCGGTGGGAGTTGGGTCGGTGGGTGTTTATTCACCACGTCCGCATACTCCGTCACCAAAGGATACACCGGATCCTTGGGGTTCTTGAGAATCTCAGAACCCAAGCGCGCCTGACGCTGCTTGTTCATGTCTTCCAGGACGTTCTCGTCCAAGACAGAGGAGGAGTTCAGCTCCTCCTGAGGGG